GGAACAGCGATGACACGTGCTGGAGCAGAGAGAGAGAGAGAGAGAGACAGAGAGAGAGAGAGAGAGAGAGAGAGAGAAAGAGAGAGAGAGAGAACTCGCAGAGTCAGGGAAGGCTTCTCACAGCCCGTGTTATTTGAGCTTGTTCTCAAAGCTTAAGTAGAAATTTTGCAAGAAGATGAAAAGGGAAAGGACATTCCAAGCAGAGGACACAGGGTGTGCAGGGAATGGCATGTTGTCATGGACAGCTATTTTTCTGCCTGCCCAGCATTCCTTTCTCCACACTTTGGTGATGAAACCAGACCTAATCGCAGTCGTTGGGGCTCATGTGGGCTGAGTACACTGCCCTAGCTCCAGCTGTGGAGATCTGACACAGGCCTAGCTCCCAATCAGTACATGACATCACCCAGACCCCAGGACTAATAAAGGCCCAGGCCAAGCCAGCGAGACTCTAACTTGAGGCTTTGTTGGAACCCCCAGCAAAATGAATCTTTCTGCTTAACTTGAAGACAGAAGGTTGCAAGTGTGAGGCTGCTGCTGACCACAATTAGAGAGGCTGCCTGAGAATCACACCAATATGGAGGCAAGCAGAGAAGAGGAGATAGAGACAGACTGAGACTGATGCTATTTTTGAGCCCCTGGATTCGGCCATACCTGAAGCTTTCCCAATTATATGAATGGAGTGTGTGTGTGTGTGTGTGTGTGTGTGTGTGTGTGTGAGAGAGAGAGAGAGAGAGAGAATTGGAGTTTTTGTTACCCATAACCAAAAAAAAAAAAAAAAGCTGAAAAATACACATAAGACAGGGAGCCAATGTCAGGTCTCAGATAGTCAAGGCTGGTGATAACTATACAGTCAGAGATCAGAGCAGGTAAGTGGCCAGAAAGCAGGAATCCACCTACAGTTCTACCCAATCTTGTTGCACTGAAGCCAGAGAATGCTCGGTCTCCCTACTTTCAGTGTGAAGCAGCATTTCACCCAGTGGGGTTCATGGCTTATTCAACATATTTTCTTTCTTTCTTCCTCCCTCCCTTCCTCCCTCCCTTCCTTCCTCCCTTCCCTTCCTTCCCTTCCTTTTCTTCCTTCCTTCCCTTCTTTCCTTCCTCCCTCCCTCCCTCCCTCTCTCCCTTCCTTGTCACCATCTCCCCCACCTGGAGTGCCTTCCTTTTCACATTTGTCACAGTCCTGCCATCTTTCCAGGCCTGACATGTCTCCCTCAATAAGTCTTCCCCAATTGTTGCAGAAAATTCTTTCACATTTGTGCTGAATCAGCACAAGGTCCCTTCCTCTGATCCTTCAAGCACAAAAGCAAGGGACTAATGGTGTCATGAGTGATGTGTGAGCCAGAGGGAAAGTGAATCTGGTCCCTGCCTTTTTCATCACCTAAAGATTCCAGCTCAGCTGGGCTCGATGCTTTATGCACTGGAAAGAGCCTGCCAAGAAGTCTCTGCCGTTCATCTGAGACTTTAGACAGGTCCCTTAAACTCTCCGAGCCTCCGCTTCTTCATCTGTAATAACAGCTGACACGTACTGAAGGTTGTGCCAAGTGAGGGCTGGCTGCTTTTCATGCATTGTCACATTCAAAGGTGACCTTTGACCTCCAGGCCTCATGGAGTATTGTGAAGAGTGTAAAGGGGCTCGGTTAGGAGCCTGGAGTCCCCAAGGCATCCCTTGGTCTTGGTGACCTTCGCCAAGGACCTTTCCCTCTCCAGGTGCCAGTTCCTTTTCTAATGATAAAATGGGGGAGGGGTGGACTGCATGATTTGGATGGACTCTTCAGGGTATGATATTAAAACAGTGCAAACCATTCTGCATGACATTCATGTAGAAGAGACACAGGATGGCCCTTTAAGAAAATATGTCGACTGTCTAAGAGGTACCCAGGGGTAAGAAAAGAAAGAAAGAGACAGAGAGAGAGACAGGAGGGGGAGGGAGGAAGGAAGGACACCAAGATGAGGGCTAGTCTGACGAGGGTCTGGGCTGCCAATCTGCAAATGAATCATGCCCTGTACGTGGCACATCCTGCCAAGCATTTTGTTTGTGTTCAGGATTACCCAGTGTCAGGGGCTATCATGCTTAGAGATGTCTTCCGTGCCAAGGCAAGGGCAGGAAGAAATACAGCCAAGAGACTACACAAATAGGCTCCTCTACTTGGCTGTCTGGCTTTAGATCCCTCCTCTTTTCTCTCCTCCGTCTTGGGAAAGCTAGTAGGTCTTTCCAACCCTCAGTTTCATGATTTATATCAAGGGCCAGCAAACATTGTCTGTAAAGGGCCAGATAGTAAATAATTCAGGCTTTGCAGGCCAGATGGTCTCTGTCCCAACTACTCGACTGCTGTTGTAGCACAAAAACAGCCACAGACAACACATAAACAAATTGGCATGGTTGTGTTCCAATAAAACTTTATTTACACAAGCAGGTGGCAGGATGGATTTGGCCTGCGGGTCAGCATTTGTCAACCCCTTCTCAGTACAATGGGCGTAGCAGCCCTACCTGCAGCATGGAGTCGTCAGGAGAAGCAGAGATTTTCTATGCTAAGCACTAGTGACATGCATAAGATCAAGTGTGCACTGTGCTAGCTCGACTTGTTATCACTGCTAATGTTACTGTTATTACTGCTGAATGTTACTGGAAAGTAGCTCTGGGGGAGAAAACCAGCATTTTTTCTTGTCTGAGTGGTTCACTGGGAAATGCTGGCATGATTCCTCCTGGTGAGATGAACTTTTCTTTGGAACAGAGAAGTAAATAAGCACTTGTCTCAGGGTCACAAAAGAGCCTTCCAGTGGGGAAATTACAGGATGCCAGGGAACGTGCAGAGCCGAATGACACCATGCCATTCCTGAGCCCTCCGGGATGGGCTGGTGGGTCAAGGTCTCAGCCAGGCACAACCCAGGATGGGTGCTGTGCTCAGGAGTGGCTATGACCACAGGCTTTGGCATTGAAAAGACTTGGTTTTAGTCTTGCTTTGATTATTTTTTCCCCAGCCATATGATCCTGGGCAAGTTAGTGAACCTTTCTGAGGCTCAGTTTGCTCATCTATTAAATGGAGATTTTAAACAGCAGCTCCTTCCTAGTGGTGCTGTGCGAAGTTCATGAGAAAACACATGTGAAAGGTCAAGCATGGTACGTGGCACATGGTAAGCGCTCCATAATTGTTAACGATGATCATGATGTTATTGTCATTGTTGTGCTGTCATCATCATAGACGTCATAATCTCATTTAATCTTTAAAACAGCCAAGGGAGATGGGTATCATCCTCCCCCTTTTTACAAATGAGGACACACACACAAAGCAGGACCTTCGTTTTGAGTTTCAAAGGATGCATGAACTTGAGCGAGGGTAGGCCCAAGGGTCCAACATAAGAAGCTGCTCCCCAACATGCACCCCCACCACATTGCTGTGACAGGCATAACCCCCAACACTGTCACTACGCAGAGCTGAGGATGTAGCTCTGCCTCCTCCAAATGAATTCCATTTTCATTCGCAGCTACGTGACTGCACCACGCCATTGGCTCCTTACCCCACGCCTTCGAGACAGGTATATGTTAAGGAGTGCCCGTAGGTTACTTTCACAGAAGTCAGATTCTTCAGAGGCCCAATACGCAGCTTAAGAAGCCCTAAGAAAAAAGAAGCTAACTCCAGGAGCCCAGACCTCCTGGGTGGGCCTTGTATTTGCTGCACACCTTGCTTCTGCTGCCTCTCCTGAGCGCTCGAGAGTATCTGGACTATTTCAGGCATCTGTATACCCAGGATGTTTTCTGATAGGAGCCCAGCCATGTGGAAGTGTGACATTTAGAACAACTGCTCTTCTTCATGTGTATGGCATTGACTCGGACATGAGAAGGGCAGAGATGGCGTCTCTGGATGTCAGAGAGATAAGAAGGATGAAATCACCACCGATAGGCCAGCCTTTGACCTCCCATGTGAACAAAATGCCAGTTATTCTGGGATGGGCAGAGGCAGACGTGGGGTGAAGCTGGAAAAGATAAGAAGGGAAATCCGTGGGAGTCAGGGCAGCTTCCTAATTTTCTTTGGGTCATCTGGTCTCTAATTGCTTCACTTCAACCCCTCAAAGATCTTGAGGTGGGAACCTGTAGTGGTATTACTATACCCATTTTACTGATGAAGAAACTGAGGTTGAGAGAGGGTAAATAACTTTCCAAAATTTATTCAACTTACAAACAACAGGTCTATCTGACTCCAGAGCACAGTCCCCAAAACACAGTTGGTGCTCAGTATATATTTATTGAATCCATTTGATCTTTTCTGCATTATGTTACTAAAACATTTGAATCACCAGCTCACTCCATGCCAAGTCTCAGTCTCAGTGGACTATGCCAACCCTGATATCTCCATCCATTAATTCATTCAATAAGCAATTATTGAGCTCCTATAGTGTTCCAGGCGCTGTTCTAGGTGCTGCTGTGAGATGCTATTACCTCTTCCTTCTTCTCTGGGATCTCCTGCCTGCTGAGGGCTCAGACCCTCGGGGTGACTGGCACACAGGCCCGTTCTACGGTCCGCATCACAGCTTATCAGCCTCCTCTGTCTCCGTGTCCCAGGGCAGCTACTCCTTCCCACCAGCATTATCCAGAAAGCCCACATTCCCTTGGGCTTCCATAAAGAGCTGGCCAGCAAGGCAGCTGGTCTACCCAGGGAGTTACTCACGCTCTCGTCAGCAACCCCGCTGACCCTACATTATAAAAACATTCCCTGCAATGTTCCTCCCTGTGCTGAGATGCTTCCCTGAAATGAGGGGGGATGGGGGTCCGAATGCTTCCATTCATCCTACAAACACTGACATGGCGCCCACCATACGCATTTCAGGCACTGCAGAGGTGCTGGGAGCCCAGGACTGGAAGGCCAGCTTTGGCCCTAGTGTGAGGGGCAGACCTATGAGCAGGTCATGGTGCCACGTGGGACAAGTGCTATGACAGCTCAACACAGGCAGGACAAGATGCCTTTCACTCTGACGGGGCCCAAGCCAGCCACAGTGTAGCCAACCTAAGGCCCTCTTGCTGAAACTGCCCTTCCACAGCCCTACCACGGGAGTCGTGTGGTGTCACCAGGGACAGGGCATCCAGTCCTAGGCAGAGAACAGAGATGCCCAAGATGGTCTGGGGAGAAAGGCTGCACTCAGAGGGTAAAGGTTATCAGTCACACCCATCAGCTCTCTGTGGTATTTGGGTGAGGGGAGGAGACAGCGACATGTGGCACTGAAGTTGCAAAAGACACCCAGAGCAGAAAGAGAGATTGCCCTGGGGCCTTCTCCCCTCCAGCCCCCGCCCCGCAGCTGCTCAGAGTCTACCACCTTCCTGTCCCAGTTCTGGCCTGTGTGTGTTCGTCTTGAGCAAATCCTTCTCTCTTGCACCCAGAGGAGCCACTGCCCCAGGAGGCAGGAAAGGCTTTCCCAAATAGTGAGGCCTCTGCTGAAGGGTGTCTAGGATCTCTTCAGGCAAAGGAAGAGCCCATGCACAGGCGGGAGAGAGAGAGAGAACTTCAAGAAATTGGTATCAGGTCAGAGGGCTTGGTACGAACTGGGAGCAAAATTCCTGCTAAGTTTTCCTCTCAACTCTGCTATTTCCCTTAAGAAACCCAAGTTTCAGAAAGGGAACTATGTCACCTTCTGGGCACCTGGTTCTTCTCTTATTTGGTTATTTTGTCATCATGCACTGAAGCCAGTTTGCGTTAAAGCCCTCCTGAATAGACTCCAGTTCTGGGGTTCACCCTTGTTCTGGCCATCAGGGCTGCTTGGAGCTCAGCAGGGCCTTGCCACCTCCCTTTCCTGGGGACACCTCCCATGGCTGCTTACTCTGAACAAGAAGTCACTCCTGGGCATGGCTGTCCCACAGCTGAGCTCCTACTAAGAACATCAGCTGGGTGTCACACGGGGCTCTGCTCCATCAGTCAGCCTGATTGTCCTGTCCCTTTCGATAAGGGAGCAGCGAGGAGACACGATTGAGGAACATGCTTGGAACGAACGCCTGCTGGAGTGAGCAGCCCAAGGAGTGATCCCAAACGTGGAAAACAGCTGGGTGCACCGCTCGGCAAAGCCGCGGTATGGGAATCTTTTAGGGAAGGAAATTCACACTAGAGTCAAGCCTCTGAAGACAGGAGGCTGCCAAACACATTTGTCAGGTCGCCATCCAGGCAACGACCGGGTCTTGTTTCTTTTTAGGACATTGCGTACCACCAGGTGCTTGGGTGTTTCTTTTGCACACCTGTTTGTAGGAACTCTTCTAAGGCACCAGGCTGGCCTCAGCAGTGGATGTGAGGGCAGGTACAGTGGCCTTCGTCTCACGGTCCCAGGCTGCATGGGCGTTGCTCTCTGCTTAAAAGGCAGCAGATTCCAAACTGCCTTCAAACGCTCCATCCAGGCTGTCTCCGGCCAGTCCTCCCATCGCAACTGCTCAGATACGGTCTCCTTCTCCATCTGAACTCCTCAGCCTGATTTCTTTTCAGGCTCCTTGCAAAGGGGGCTGCTGGTCACTGGCCTTTCTGAGACTAGAGAGACGCCGTAATCCCTGAGAGAGGAGAGCGTCTTCTCGTAGTGGTATCATCACGGCAAACCAGTGTCTTATTCCTCACAGAACAACTTTTTCCCAAGTGGGACTGGTAGGATGGTGGATCCAATAGGTGTTTCTTGCACACATAAATTTGAGAAATTAAACAAGTCTACTTGCGGTGGAATGTCTCAGTGCCTTGACCGTGTTAATGTGCACCGGGAATCTCCAAGAGGGGTTACCCACGTAGTGGTATTTAACCTCAAAGTGGCATTTATTCCTAAAGTATTGAACCTCAAATCCCTCTTCCCTGGAGCATCTTGTTGGATTAATGCTCCACGGGGCACTAATTTCTGAGGACGTGCTGCTCTAGTGGATGCCACTGTTTCTTTCACTCAGCCAGTGTTTACTGTGAGATACAGGGACAGGATCATGCCGGGTTCACGGCGTGGGTTTGGGAACCGTGGTGACCTACGAGTTGCAGCCTCTGTTCCGCCACTTTCTTGATGTGTGGCTTCGGGCAAACGATTTCAGCTCTCTGAGTCTCCGTTTTTTTCATCTTTAGAATGGGGATGACAGTGCTAACTACCTCATAAGACTGTAATGAAGAAGACTGCATGGACTCATGTATGAAAAGCAGTTTTCCCAGTGCCTGATACATAGTGAACATCCAGTTAAAGCCAGTCACTGTAAGCATCATCATCGTCCTTGTTACTAGGTAAGGAGGAGGAAGATGAAGAAAAATGCACAGAAATGATATAAAGTACGGAAGTGCGTAATAGTCATATCTTAGACAGATAAATGACATAGGAGTAGGGAGCAAAGGTCTCTTAAGCGACATGGCATCTGGGATGGGCTTTGCAGGATCAGTAGGAGTTGGTAGGTATTGGCAGGCACAGTTACGCCCAGGCAGAGAAGCAGCAGGAGAAAAAGAAAACGTGTGAGGAAGGACTTGCCCTGAGGCAGCACCATTCAGATGAGCTGCGGGGATGGTGGCGAGGGGTGAGTGGGGGAGAGTCGGACGCAATGGCTGAGAAGGTCTTCAGAAGGCCAGAGCAGGGGGGTCTCGAATGCTGCTAGGGGGGTTGGGCTCTATCGGGTGGGGATTAGAGAATTAACGGGTAAGGGAAGAGTAATGTCCCCAAGAATCTTAAGGAAAGGCAGTTTGGAACCTGCCACCTTTTAAGTACTCGTTTTAAGGAAAACAATTTGGCGGTGGGATACAGTCTGGAATGAGAGGCAGAAACACCGAGTGAGGGACCTGGTTAGAGGTAAAACTAGGTGGGGAGGCGGGACAGGGAGGGCTGGGGTTGGGGTGCAAGACCCGAGGGAACTGCTCAGGCTGCCTCGATGAGACTTAAAGACCAACCTTCCCAAACCAGGTGGGATTACGGAGCAGTGCCAGGCACCTCTTGGGGAAATGGGCACTTCTTCCCCTGCCAGAGCTCCTGGCGTGACTGGGCCCAGAAAATGGGCCTCCTTCTTTAAGGCTGACTGGATTTTCAACGCAAATACTTAGCCAATGACCGTGTCTTACAGAGGTTCTTCCCCCTCCGTGCTGGGGGAAGCTTCCTAGTCCCCAGAGATTGGCAGGTCTCCTCTGAGTAACACGCCCTGACATTTGACAGCCATTTGCTGTCAAATCTGATGCACGGCCAAGTATGCTGTTGGCTTTTTCTAGATAATGTAGATCTTCCAGTTCATCCCAGAAAATGCTGGACTAGGAGTGGGCGCGAGAGTAGGGAGCGTGGGAGGGGCCCTTGGAGCACACCTTTAGGGAAGCATTAGGCAGAGAAGTAAGGTTCTTACACTCTCGAGAAAGGGGCCAAGCAAATACGCAGAAGAAAACGCATTTTCATCTTGGTCTCGGACAGAACAGTGTGATAAAACACTGACCAAATCCGACCTGCCAGCTCATTCCAGGCACATGAAAAATTGCCCCTATCCCACCGCCGAGCCTGTGAACGACACCCAGGCAGATGGAACGAGGATATCATTACGGGGAAATGGGCTGGGGATTAGGGATGCTGGCGTGAGATTCTGGCCTCATTTTTTACCTTTTTGAAATCCCCACTTCTTTGATATTCACACAGCATCATGTCGAAGAAGATTGGTATGGTGGCTTTCCGGAGCTCAGCCTCAGGGATAAGTGTCATCTCTAATATAGGTCCCACCATGCCTGGGATGAAGCAGATTTTGTTCTGGCCTGAAAGAGAAGAGAGACATGGACACATAAAACAATTTCGTGAAGCACAGATCCTCCCCAGACCAAGCCTGGGGAGAGAGAAAAGAGAGGCATAACAGTAAACACCACAGTTAACACTTATGTCGTTGTTTACCACGAGCCAGGCACCGTTTTGAACACTTTACATATATTAACTCCTGTAAGAGGCACATGCAGCATGCCAAATGAGCCCCATTATTAAGGATAATAATGCAGGCATGTGTAAAGCGCTGCACTGTTTACAAGGGTTTTCACCCACATTATCTGCTCTGCAAATAGGGCCATGATTGAATATGTTAGCGACGGTAAAGCACAGGGACATTTCAAATTATGTCTGTCTGCAACACAAACTGCGTTTCTGAGATTGGAAAAATGTGCTTCTACCAACTGTTTCATGAAATGAGGAAAGCAACATTTGCTACTAAGAACCACCAGTATGGTCAGTGGAACAGTGAGATTTAAAACATCGCTTGACGACCAGATGAACCACAATTTCTTGTCTATTCTGTCTCATTTCAAAGTGTTCCCTTGCACCCCTCTCCCCTGGCCCCTGGCATCCTAGCCTCACTGGCCTAGCTCACGTGCCACAATTCCACTTGCTTCCTCCACCACAAGGCTTGTGCACACACTGGTCCTTTGTTGGGAATACTTTTCCATGCCTGTTCCCCAATCCACACCCTTCCCTTCGATGGGTCCCATCTTAGCTCAGACACTCTCTCCTCTGGGAGAAAAGCCCCCTGCACATCCCCACCTCACCCCCAGCTAGATCAGATTCCCTGTACTGGCTCCTAATGCTCTGCCTTCTTACCCAATTTTGAAATGATGTCTTTATCTGTGGAATCATTTGATTAATATCCATCTCCCCCATCGAGAGCTTCATGAGAGTAGAGACCATGTCTGCTCTCACCATTGTATCTGTACCACTGAGCACAGAACATATTAGATGCTCTGTAAGTATCTGTCAAATGAGGAAATAACATTTGTCTAGCTCCTACACTCACTTGGATATGTGTCTCATAAAAGTGCAATAGCAATACCCAGCCGTTGAGAAGCTCATGTGAAAATGTATCTGTATGTACTTAGCACAGAGCATGGCAGAATCAGTGACAAGTGGCGGAGTCAGCGTTGCCCAGTGATTAAGGGCACTGAATCTGAAGCTAGTCTGCCTGAATTTATAGACGGACTCCACCATCAACTAGCTGTGTCATGGTGAGCAAGTTGTCTTACCCCTCAGTGTGCTCATCTGTAACATGGGATAACAACAGCATTTATCTCATAGGGTTGTTGTGAAGGGTAAATGAATTATCACTTATTGAGCACCCAGGACAATGCTCGGCATACTTTCTGTGGTGTTAGTTATTACTGTTGCGACGTTTGGTCACAATGAACCGCAGAGGGAAGACTTGTTGAGTAGAACTGAACAAACTCCTCAGACTGCATCTATCAGAAGTGGCAGCCAGGGAATAAAGAGGGACACTTGGGAATTGCAGAGATCTCCGGGGAGGCGTGGAAGGCAAGTTCAAGCAGCCTCATCACTGGAGATGACACTCTGTGTATTTCATCAGCTGCTGCCTCTTTCTCTTCCTGAGTTTCAGAGCCCAGGAAGCCCACCCTGGTTTTCTCCATTGTCAGGATAAAAATCTGTGGTCCTCGCCTGCAGCAGAGAGCTCCTGGGGGTGCAGAAACTCAGGTGGCGTGGCGCGTGACCTGGCACAGTTGCTTTCGATTAATGCTGAGAAAAGGAGCCGAGAGGGACGGCAGCAAGAAAATGAATTTCCATTCAGCCTAAATGAGGCTTAATGTTGGGAGTATTTCCCCAGAATTCAGATAAAAAAGGCATCATCCTAGGAATATCTTCAGTTAGGGAGAATGAAACGGTGAAGTCAGGCAGCGAGTACAGTGAAATATAAAGATACTTTTCCAGGGAATCAGTTTCATTATACAATCCGTGAGTATTACACTTAAGCCTCGAGTCTTCACTTTGGCCCAAATAGAAAACAACAACAACAACTTACTTTCTGGCAGGTTTATAGTAATTGCCAATCTAGGTTTCTGATTTCATCCTTCAAGATCCTTTAAGTCTTTTTCAAAACCAGTGGGGTTTTAAAATTCAAAGTCGAATGCAAAAATAGGTAGAAAGTAAATGGGAAACTGTCAGATAAGCTACCATGGAATGGAGAAATTGCTTATGCAACAAAGGCCTTTAGAATACTGGAGGGCACTGGGCATGATAAGGGTATATTTATGATGGCTTAAAATAGCGGGCAGACATGCTGTAGACCCGGGATTTCTTACATACTTTTGACCTGCATTCTTGGCAGTCGCTTGAGGAGATATTTGGCAGAATAGGAAAGAGGAAAGAGAGATGTTGATCTCTAAATACAGTGTGATCTCAATGGCCCTTACAGTGCTCCCTAAAGAAATCTTATTCATTTACATAAAAAATGGAATGTCAGCACATTGGATTTTGTGTTCAATTAATCCAAATGCGTGTGTATGTTGCATATTTTTATATACATAGATGTATACACATGCACTGATCATACCTGTGGCTAACTGAACGCAAACTTGTTTGGAAAACAAAAAGTCCTTATCCAAGAGACACACCTGCTGCTGTATTTAAAAAAAGGCAAGGAAGGGAATTAGTAGGAGGGTCTTTTTCGTATAATTGAAGCTGAATCTCATTGGGAACAGATATCAAGTAGAAAAGGCTTTTAAAGTGCCAATAAGCCACAGAATAAATCCCAACGCCGCATTACACAGGCTCTAGGAAAGGCTCTGGTGGTAATGCCAGTGCGGAGAAGAGCTTAGGTGTGTGGGTGGAAAGGAGTCCCTGTGTTCTCTGGCCTTGGTTTTAATCTGTACAATGGCCTCATCCATCACTCCTCTCTGGGGTAGACTGTAGGACGGAAGGCAAAGGGTCTGAGGCCGCTAAGATGACCTTGAAAGAAAAAAAGGCAGACCTTTGCAAATCTGGCTGAGAATGAAGTTGGGCAAGCCACTGACCTTCTGAGGCTGGCATGGGACAGAAGGCGCACTGTGACAGAGGGTCTCTAAAGGTTGGCATAGACCCTGCAATGAACAGGGATGAGGGCAAGTTATAACTCCTTGGATTTCAGAGTCTGGCAAGCCTCCTAGGGACTCTGAAATAAAGCTGGGCTGATAATATAACATCACTCATTCGGCTCAAAAGAAGAAAGAACAGATCTCTGCTCCTCTCTCTTAGGCTTGAAAGGCTCCTCCTGGCCATGCTCTGAGATAGGCAATCAATTCTCTTCTCACTATTCAGGACACGCCCGGCCCCAGCCTCCCTCCAGACCCCGTAAAGTCTGTGAACCTGACAACCTAGGTCAGGTTCTGCCACTGCCACCCCAGGCTGGGTGCCACTGTGCTTTTCATCTGCCTTCTCTGAGCCTCTACGATCTCATCTGTAAAATGGAGGTAAGAATAATGTCTTCCTTGTAGAACTGTTGCGAAGCTTAGAAGAGTTGATGTAAACAAAGGGCTCTGCACAGTGTCTGGCACGTTAAGGAAAGCTCTGGAAGTGTCGATGCTGATTATGATGATGCTGGTGGCGGTGAGTACTTTGGGTTCAGCCATATGCTGGGCTCTGCATAAAACAATATGAAGAGACAAAGTCCAACCCTGTGGAGGTCCCTGGAGGCTTCCACGGAAATGTTCAGGCTGGTCATTTTATTTGTTCGTTTTTAGAGCAAACAGCCCAACTGGGGAAAGGGTCAGGATGGATTTATATTCTCTGCCACAGCTGATATTCAGGACCCTCCACACTCTTCTCTATCCCATTGAAATAATTCATAATCTGTCCTCAAAGATGCGTGAAAAGGCCCAATCTGACCATGTTGATTCACAGCTTTTCCCGAAGGCATCCGTTGCTCTTGGGGTCAAGCTCTGCAAGCCCGTGTGGTGCCATACTCCCTCTCCACACCCACGTCACGCCTCTCACCTGCCCGTCCTCCATCCACCTGGTGCACCCTGCTCCTCCTGCCTGGGCACTGACACGTGCCCTCCTCTGCCTGCCGGCTCTTCTCTCCCTCTGCTGCACCCCGCCCCCACTCGGAACCCCACGCCACACAAGCCCCTGCTGCAAGTCCGTCCTCTCTCGCCCTCTGGAGCCATGCTATTCAGTACTATTCACACTGCCACGTGTGTCTTTGGAGCACTTGAAATATGGCCAGTCCAAAATGAAATGTGCCATAAGTGTGAAAAATTCCACCAGATTTCAAAGAATGAGCTCCAAAAAAGAAGAAAAAAGAAAAGAAAAACCTCAGTAACATTTTGTATTGATTACAAATGGTAATACTCTGGAATGATAATACTTTGGAATACTGGGGTTAAATATGTTACTAAAATTAATTTCACTGCTGCTTTAGAATATTTTAAAGTAGACACTAGAGCTTTTAAAATTGGACAGGTGGCTCCCATTCTGTCTCGAAAGGACAGCACTGCTGGGAGCTCGGGGCTCCGGGCGCTTCCACATCAAGGCCGTCCGTGGCTCACTTGCTAGGCAGGAGTCCGTCCTCGATTCTCTGAGTGCCCCACGTTCCTGCTCGCTGGCTGTTTCCCCTTCACAGCCATAATGGAATAACTCTGCAATTAGCGTGTAACTGTTTAGTGCAACGACCACCAGTCTGTGAGGTCAGAGACTATACCTCTACCCTGCTTGTGGTTTCAACCCCAGCTACTTGCATTTAGAGGGTACATGTGTTAGTTTCCTGTGGCTGCTGTTATAAATCACCACAAACTCAGTGACTGAAAACAACACAAATTTGTTATCTTACATTTCTGGAGGACAGAAGTCTGGAAATCAAGGTGTGGGCAGGACTGAGTTCCTTCTGGAGGGTCTGAGGACACATTTGTTCCCTTGCCTTTTCTAGCTGCTGGAGGCCCCCCTGCACTCCTTGGCTCCTGGCCCCTTCCTCCAGCTTCAAAGCAGCAATGCAGCATTCCCAAAACCTCCCTGA